CCAGTTGCGTACCAAAGAGAGGCTCGAATCTAAGTTAGAAGGACCTGCAACGAATGTAGAAAGCGTGGAAGGGAGCTCAGTCCCTGGCGAACGATTAAGGTGGGTGGATCGGTAAACGAGCAAAGAATCATCCCGTTAGGAGAAAGAGACCAACTCTACGCTTTATGAAGCAAAAGCCATGGAGTTCTACCGGGCGAAAACTGCGCGAGCGAGTAGGCATACAACGGTGAATTTGTCATGTCATTGCACAAAACAGTGGCAGCGACGTTATCGCAAGCTAAAAGGTTGCAAACGGTTAACATAGGACTAGTGGCTGAGGATGAATACAGAACAAACGCCGAAAGATTGGTTTATAGGGCAGAAAGAACATGATGGACAAAGAAGCCACCACTTAGCCCGACCGACACTGTCAGTTAATTGCGCAGCCAGCTGGTCGGAAGTGACATGATCCGTGTCCGTATGTACGGACGAAAAAGCCATGTAACCGCTGTGACCGCGTACAAGGGCACATCATCGTTGAGGATTCCCCAATATGGGTGTTGTACTTGGTCGCTGGGGAAGGGGTCGCATCCGATTTGAAAATTTTTTATAGTTGAATTTTTTTCGTTTTACGGACACTACAAGGGGGAGGGGTCGTGCTAGCCTTCCGGCCTTCTAGGAAAGGTTGTTGCCTTCCGCGATTCTTCTTTTCTTTTTTCTTTCGTTTCTAAGAGCTAGTTGGGAACTGCGATCCAGTGTGCGGTCATCAGAGTTATGACAGAAAAGAGCGAACTTCTTCGAGTCGTTGACCCAGATATCTCCTAGTTGGCTGCCACGCATTTTCTTCAGTAATACAAGTGACAAGCTTCCTGCTTGTTAGATGACCGAACAGGCATGGATCCACCTTTCAAGAGGCACTTACCTGACTCATATTCACTCTGGGCGATGTTGCTCAACTGGTAAGTTTTTGTAAGAGGTAATATTCAGTATGCATAGAAAGCAAGGCTACTCCGGAGCGTGCAAATCTAAGCTTATCATTGAAACAACTCACCCAGTAACCATTTCAGACCCCAGTAAGAAAACACGGACTAAGGGAGAGAAAAAGGCTCTTACTGTAATGCAGAATGGTTATTGGGTGAGTTCGTTTCGATCATGAGATTCGGGCTTGCAGGCTCCGGAAAAGGCAATGTTTGCCAGAACATCAGCACAATAAAGCATCTGTGTCAATCTCGGGAGGCGAAGGAAGCATAGAAGGCATTACAGATTTTTTACGTCTCTAATGACCAGAGGTCTATCGTAAGATACTGCTGTACATCGTCCCATTGCCAAGCCTCTATTCTCTAGTTTGGGAAGAATACGTGCCCGATCATTTGAAGATGTTGCACGCTAGACATCTTTTTATTGGTGACATGGTGGGCTCCTCACCGAGTCCAGAAGTCTCTATGCTCCCAACATGCCTGTCTAACATTTCAGACAGTGCCTGTTGAGCTTAGCTATTCCGAACATTGGAATAAAGCCAAGAGGCATCAAACGAATTTAACGCAATGTGTTTCCAAAAGTGATTGACGTTGTTGTTCGAGGGTCCTTGTCGCACCGGTTAATTGGTCAAGTAGGAGGAAGTTTCGATCAACAACTGACTGACAATACAAGTGGGCAACAATGAAATTCAATCAATTAGCCTCCAAAGCAGCGGATTATTGACCTCATCTTGAATCTGGTGACATCGACTGCATATCACAAGGAGTAACTCTGTGGGTCTTACGAGGGGCAGGGCGATTTGGATTGTGAAGTCTGAGTCCGCTAAGAAATTTTCTTTGATTCTGGTAGAGGGACCCTAAGGCAGCGTTCAGACTTCGCGACGGCAGCGCTTCGGTCGCGCGTTTGGCGCGATCAATGCACTAGAAAGCATGCGCATCGATCGTCGAATCGGGCGAAGCGCTGCAGTCGCGAAGTCTAAATGCTGCTCAAGCCATCCAAACGTTGAGAGCCTGCACTGAGACAGAAACTCGTTTTCGCTCGCGCGGCGGTAAGCCCGTATCCGCTAGGTGGAGTACTGTGATTTCACAAGTGACTGTGACACGACCACAAACCCTCTTTGTTCAGCACGCACAGAGACACGTATAGTACCGTTTGAAATTGGCTCACGTAATTCTCTGAAACTTGCCGTTAGTGTGTCAAATTGCTGCAACGATACCTCCTGTTCTGAATTGGAACGGATAGTATCTCTGCTGACAAAAGGGAATTTGACAACTCGCACTTGACAACTTGACGTTCGCAACGTGACATAATTTTCTGGTGTGGCTTCAGTTTTTTTATAGAGTGTATGCGGGAACGCTAGTGATGGAAGAGATCTTTGGTTTAGTGAGGAAGTGATCTCTGGTATTGCGCATTACTGTCGCGGCGATGTTTAGAGCGTTGTAGATCTGGAATTCTCTGTAGACCCGCACTACTTTGCGGAACGTTTTAGCATTGGTGTTTTGTGCCTATGAAAATGATTCATCTAGGCTTAGCAGGTTTAGCGCGCTACTGGATACATGAGATCCAAGACTGCGACTTTCGACATTTCACCACTACTGCGAGCGTTTGTGCTGTTTGGGCAGTGGGTTGTGGGAAGGTTCTCAACTCGGACTCTCCTAAAGCGTTCCGAAGAGGTATCATATTTTGGAATATATGCAAGATCCGACCTTAAACCCAAAAGAGGAACAAGTTAACCGTAGCCTTCCCTCAACCCTGCTGCAAGTCATTTCCGGAAGAAGACGCCGGAATGCACGTGTTTTAGCGTTGAATTTCATTAACGTGGAATACAATACGTATTGTGTCTTCTTATTCACCGTACTGATGATACAACTGTATATCTTCACAGCATACTGGTAATTATCGTCGTATTCGCACATTGCGTCCACCTTCATATTCTCAATGAACCGTGGCATGATGCCAGTGGTCACTCAGGAGGAACTTCAGGGATTGGCTGGTGACAGCAGGATGCCAACCCAGTCCATCTTTATATAGCACAGCTATTCCTATGTCTGCAATATAATTTTGTCACAGTAAGTCCTACTTCTTGAAGAAACAATTAATTGAGCGGCTGCGCACTGGTAGACTGGGTGAGTCTTTGCCTTCATTCGGGG